AAAAAAAAATAAATGCATTTAACTGGATATATAGCAATTATGTATGGTATAGTTTTTTATGTATGCACTGTATGTAAGGATGAGTTCACAAATGATTTTCAAAATTTGCAATATTGCAAATTTTGAAGTAAGTTGAATTGCGGTTAGTAGTTCACAATTTTGCAATTCTAATTGGCTGCCTATAACTGTCAGTTATAAAAATGTCAGAACTATGAGTTCCAGAGTTTTCTTTTAATTTTTTTATATAAAAATGCCAGAACTATGAGTTTCAGCATTTTCTTTTAATTTTTTTTATATAAAAATACCAGAACTCATAGTTCTGGCATTTTCTTTTATTTTTTTATATAAAAATGCTGGAACTATAAGTTCTGGCATTTTCTTTTAATTTTTTTTTATATAAAAAATGCTGGAACTATGATTCCGACACTTTTTTTTGATTTTTTCTTATATAAAAATGCTAGAACTATAGTTCTGGCGTTTTCTTTTGATTTTTTTATATAAAAATGCCAGAACTATGGTTCTGACATTTTCTTTAATTTTTTTATGTAAAAATGCTAGAACTATATAGTTCTGGCATTTTCTTTTGATTTTTTTATATAAAAACACTAGAACTATAGTTTTAGCATTTTTTTAATTTTTTTTATATAAAAACGTCAGAACTATGGTTCTGGCATTTTCTTTTAATTTTTTTTATATAAAAATGCTAGAACTATGAGTTTCAACGTTTTTTTTAAATTTTTATATAAAAATGCCAGAACTATAGGTTCTGGCATTTTTTTTTGACTTTTTTTTATTAAAATGCCAGAACTATTGGTTCTGAAGTTTCAATTTTTATTTTTTTTTTATATAAAAATGCCAGAACTATTGATTTCAGCGTTTTTTTTTAATTTTTTATAAAAACGCCAAAACTATTATTTCTGGCATTTTTTTTTATTTTTTTTTATTAAAATTGCCAGAACTATTAGTTCTGATATTTTTTTTGCAGTTATTATAGGAGAAAATGCCGTTTCTGGCAGTTTTTTCCAATTACTGATCCATCTTTTTCTAAAAAATAAAATCATTTTTTTTTAAATTTTGTTAATGAAAAATGATTTTTTTTTATAATTAATAATAAAAGGAAATATATTTTTTATTAGTTAAATTAAAAAATTATATTTCATTAAAAAAAACATTAGTTTTTTTTGTGGACATTCCGCAAATCTGCAAATATTCCGCAATCCTGCAAATATTTTGCAATTGAATTGCGATACTTTGGATATTTGCAGATTTGCAGAATATTTGTTGGATTGCAGATAATTGCAGATTTGTGGATCTGTGAATTTTTAGATTTAAAAATCTGCAATGTTCTGCAATACTGTAAATCGCAATTATTTTGCAATTATATATTTGCGGCACCATCCTTAACTATATGGTATGTATGGTTTTACATAGTATGGTTTTGAATACAAATGCATATATAATTGAGGAGATAAATTTTATTGGTTCTCATTTATATATTATTAAATTTTTTTTGTAATGAAGATTTATTTGGAAATTTATAAATAACTCATATTGACTAATTTTAGTATTTATATTACATTAACCATGCAAAAACATTTCCAAAATTGACTGTTTTCTTTATTTTCTTTATCTATAAACTAATTAATATATTTCTAAATATAAATTAAAGAAATGCAAATGCGTAAATATATATTATTTGCTTTTCTTTTTCTTTAGCACTTGAATTACGTGTAAACACGCTTTTTCTTTTTCTTTACTATTTTTTGATTATGTCTAAAGTCAACCCATTTATTCTTTCAGATATTGAAATAATATCTGATGATGAAACAATATCTGAATAATTAAAACTTTAATTTAATAATAGAAAAAACAGTAATGAGTAAAATAACTGGGTATATAGTAAATCAGTATAATATGATTTATAAATTTAGTATGTATGATAAGACAAATTACCATACTAAGATAATATTATACTATGTGACACAATAAATATCATATTAAAATATTTTATGTGATACAATGAAACACATGTAATAAACAATAACATCAGATATAACACAAAAAATACTTTCTATTGTGGCTTATAATTACATGAAAAAATTTTTTTTTCTATTGGTGAAAAATATTCCTATCCAAAATAATAAAAATGAGTGAGAAAATAGATCTTTCAGACATAGAAGAACTTGATATTAATTATATTGAGTTAGATCCTGTAAGTAAAATATATGAGGCTAAGTTTTTCAATTTAATAAATTAATTTTCTTTTGGCTTTCTTAAAGGAATATCAAGTTGAAAGTGATAGTAATACTATTGAAAGTGATAAAGATACTGATATAAGTGATGAAAAAGAAGATTCAATTGCAATATTTTCAAGAAAGACACATGTACAAGAAGTTCATTATGCCACTATACCAATTGAATATCCAAAAACTTCAGAATATCCACAGTATATAATATTACAGGTTGGAAGAATCCAAGAGACTGTTTGAAAAATGTAAGTAATTATCATTTATTTATCTGCAGCTTTATTAATTCTATTAAAATTATTAAATATAATACAAATAAATTTTTTTTCAGATTCAATATTCCTTAGGTGGAGGTGGTCAAAGTTCAATTAAGAACTGTCCATTCTTTGGTAATATTAGCGTTAATAAAGAAGAAAGAAACTGTATGGGAATCAAGCACTGTGAATTTATCAATCCTGAAATTATTAATATAAGCCATAATGAAGTAGACTTTGATTCAGAATTTTGGCAAAAAATCAGTAAGAATAAACATGTTGAGACAAAAAAAATCAAAGACCTATACGTATGTATAACACTGGTCAAAATCTATACTATCGGGTATATATTGGACACCTATATATCGGTAATAAATTGGATATATATCGGGCAGTTACATATATCGGATACACATCGGGTAGGATCCCGAGCAATATATGTATAGGTAACAATATCGTTTGCTTAGTCACATGCTATTTTAGCCACAGTTAGAGGTTAGATTTGCGTAAAATTAATGATATTTTTTGCCAATGTCATATTTTTCATTTGCTTATTTTCACAGAATTTTTGAAAAGTCATATATTACAATTGCTTATTTTTTGAGTAAATTTGGAATTATTTAATAATGCATTATATAACATTTAACTATATAAGCGATGGTATTATACTAATAAGATGAAAAAAAATTTAAGACGGATATTTTAGCTAAGATGATATTACTATTGAAAAAAGTGAAATTGTAAATCATAAATGCGAGAAAATTTAATCAAATAATTTTTGTAAAATATAATATTATAAAGTCATATGGTTAGATTGCTTATTTTTGGGCAATTTGTGAAGTCACATGTTGAGTTTGCTTATTTATCTTAATAAAAACCTTGCTTAGATCTATTATAAAAATTTTGACCATTCTTGTTACCTATATATATATTGCTCGGTGTCCTCATCGGGTACCCAATATATCACCGATACACACTGGTCAAAATCTATGCTATTGGTTATATATCGGGCATCTATATATCGGTGAAAAGTGAAATGTTTCAGCATAGTATGTCATATATATAACCTACAGTACAGTATAGGTATGCCCCGAAATCCATCAGAAAATTGGGATTGAATCCGTTCAATCTGATAATTTTTTTATTATTATACCGAATTTTTTTTTTCAGATTTTAATTCAAGCCATAATATATTCATTAGTTTATAGTTTATTATATAGTAATATGAAATTATTTATTAATTTGAACCAAAATAAAATTATTATGTTTGTTTAAAGTAAACCCACCCCACACACTACTCATATCCCAATAAAAAAGAAACATTAGTATGTTTTTTCAAAGTAAATTCTGAAACTCCCTACACATTTACCCAATATCCCAAATAATCCAG